AGGGTCTCCGGTTCTCTACACTCACCATACGAAACACAACAGCGTTAAGCTGCTATTTTACGCCGGTATTCTGTGAGAGCGTGGTCCTTCCCCAGTCGAGCCGACCCATTCGTGCTGCAACTATGAATGCTGATACAAATATAACTGCATGGCTCTACCAAAACATTCGTTTAGGCGCAACCAAATATTGTATTTTATATAATTCTACAATTTCCACATCATGCTTTAATTGGTTTCTACTATCATATCCAGGCCACATTTTAAGATTTTGAATGTGAATTTTTTTTCTTCAATTGTTTATTCTGGCGTTAAAGATTTTCACTTTTTGTGAGAGAATAGTTTTATTTATAATTATTTTCTTCATTTTTCTTTTCAACTTTATTTTCTGGTTGCGTCAAAAATGGATTCGGAGTCGCTCACTACAACTGATTTTGGTGTTATAGGCAGAGAAGACATTTCATTTTGCTGAAAAAATTTTTTTAAAAATCTAATGATTTCTTTAATTTACGCGAACATTGAATAAAACTATTATTTACGGATTTTATCGCGTTTAATTACAACTTAATTTATTTTTATCGTCCCGATGTTTCGGGTGCTTTACAGCACCCATGGTCACGGGGGGGGAACTGAGATGTTTGACATCCCAAGTCATAGTTAGTCCGGCGACCTTCAGTTTTTTAATATTAATTTTTGGTCCGATTTACGCAAAACGAGCTTATAGTATCATGAAGTTTTGCAGTGGTATGCTTGGGTTTGGATTTAATTTTGTTAATTATATGATCCCAAGCAGATGGCAGCACCCATCCATCTTCTCTATTGAAATTTGGATGTTTGTTAATTTCAATAGCCTCGTGTATCATCCTTGGTAGGAATCGGTGTTCTTTTGCGAGGATTTGTGGTTTATCAAATCTAATGTAATGGTGGGGACGATCTTCAACATGTTCGCAGACTACAAAAGCGTCGGTGCTTCACGTCAGCTATATGTTCCTTCAGGCGCGTTTTTATAGATCTTTTTGTTTGACCTATGTAAGAGAGACCACATTCACAATCTAGCTTGTACACACCTGCATCTTATAGAGGAATATTGCATTTGATTGATTCAAATCTTGTCTGTGAGTCCTCTGACGTACGGTAGTACAGCAGGCGCGCGCTCGATTGTGACCGGCTCCACTCGTTCATTGTGACGTAGGCGCGGGACCCAAAGCATGTTGTCTTGCAATACTTGCTTGACGTGCTGAAGCTCGGCGGCCAGATGTTTTCTGCCACAGAGATTTGAGAAAGTGTCGTCTACGTACCGCTTGTAAAACCTTGGATTTACAGGAGCAGTAAGAAGGGCTTCCTCCTTAAAGTCCTCCATGAATATGTCGGCGACTATGGGAGACACAAGTGAGCCCATCGTCACACCATCTACTTGCTTGTAGAACTCCTCCTTCCACAATAGATAGCCATATGTAAGGCAGTGTTCAAGTAATATTGCATATACTTGAGGCATATTGTTTTATTCTAGCTTCCTAGTTATAATTGAGATGCAGTCAACAATAGGTAGGCATATAAATAGTGACATCAAAACTGACCATAGTTTCATTGTCAGCGAGATGTAGGTCTTTTATCTCACTCACAAAATGGTATGAATCCTTTGTGTGTGCTCTGGTATATCCTCTCAGTGGTGATAGTATTTTTGATAAGTATTGTGCCAGCTTATAAGTTGGTGAATCGATCTGGCTCACTATGGGACGTAGTGGAGCGTTTGGTTTGTGTATCTTCGGTAACCCATACAACCTCGGCGGTTTGGTACATGGTGGTATTAGCGAATTCTTAAAAATCTAGATTTTATACAAAAAATAAGTAATGTCGCATTGTCACAGACGAATAGAAAAATACCATTATGAGGCCCATTGTGGAGCGTGCGTGCACCAACGTTTTGTACAACGCAGTGCTTGATGGTAATAGCGACTCTAGTTACGTAGTAACCTATTACCTCAATGGTGGCGAATCGTGATTTGTAAGTCTAGAGAGTTTTAGTGGAAACTTGACCATCGACGGGTTATTGCGCCTGTTTTATCGTTTAAATAATGGTTTGAAGTAAATTCTAATACGTAAAAGTGATGAAATGTGTATAAGTTTCTGCGCGCAACTATTACAGAAATTGACGAAATAAATGCTTCGATGTTTATATAAACCTCAAGCATGGACCTAGAAAGATGGGCGGACAGAGTGTTGCTAAGAAACAATTGATGCACCGCAATAGCGGCCGTTTAACTATGTGTAACTACGCTAGCGCGGATTGGAGCGTATGACGGGTGGTAGACTTACTATGGTGTACATGTGTGCATGCTGATTTGCTTGTATAAGCGAACTGACTTACTATGGGTGCGTCACTAATTGTTTTAAGCGGCGTCCGCCCTTTTTTCTAGGTCCATGACCTCAAGTTACTTATTTTGATCGCTTAGGGGCCTTATAAACTTGGGTGACTGTCGTCATCGACTGTCCACTGGGTTGAGCTGTCATCAAAATCTCCCAAAAGCTTAGCATTGTGACGCATCTTCATATTGTGACGAAGAAAAAATCTATAAAAACGAAGAACCCGAATGAAATGAATGCATGGCTTAAAAGACAAGCATCCAAGCCAAAATCTTAATAAAAAACTTAAGTCAAGCGAGCAATTGGCGGTTTGGCGGTTGGCGGTCCTATACCTATAATATACTTGCTACATATATATTTATCTATGGTATAAAGTATTACAAAGGGAATAACATTATATAAAAATATCCATCAATTTAAAAAAATAACACAACTATTCATTATTCAAGCTTGTTATAATTACTATCATACCAAGCGCAGTTATTTAAATATTCTGAACGTCTTCTCTTTGGCTGGTTCAATTCAAGTGTTTTTGTTTTTATTTTGGCCTGTTTGTAAAGTTACTGTACTAGAAGTTTTAACATTGTAACTGTATTTATTCAATGTATTGCAGTGGAGATCGCTTTTAAATGTTACAGTCTTCCTTTTTTCGATTAAAGCCATGGGTGATTTACAGCAAATACGTGTTGAGGTTAACAATGCATTTAAACTTAGTGGTTTCACTATTCGTCGAGAAGCGTGTACTTTTGTTGCCGAACAGCTTGTTGGTTTATCACACATGGAGCGCCAGAAAATGATGGACAAACTTACAACTCATCTTCTCCATCAATGCCTTTCAGAGCCAGTATTAGAAAAACAGCACTTGGAAGTTGCTTTTAGAGAGTGTTCATCGTTGGGGTTAGAAGAAACTGAATCAATACTAAACGTTATTGATGCATTTAATATACCAAAGGTGTGTTATGATAATGAAAGGAAGAAATTTGTGAAAGATGTGACTGTGCAAAATAATTTATATCCTGAACCAAAATGGAGAGCACAGATGTTAGTTGACAGATATACAGTGATCTGGCAGAGGACTATTCGCAATAAGTTATTTTCTAAAGAAACATTACCTTCAATGGAAAGTGAAAATCGATTTCAGTTACGTAGGATAGAGGTTCTGCTCAGTTCATCAAGTAGAATAAATGAGGTTATTGTTCTGGGCCTTCTCACACAACTCACTGAAGGTAAATTTTACTTGGAAGATCCAACTGGAAGTGTACTATTAGATATGAGTCAAACAAGATATCATTCAGGTTTGTTCACTGAAAGCAGTTTTGTACTTGCTGAAGGTTATTATGATGATAAAGTTCTATATGTTATGGGTCTCGTCCTGCCGCCATCCGAAAATAGGGCAACTTCATTACCATACTTTGGTAGCTTAAACACATTTGGTGGTAAATCAAAAACTTTACTGAAAAACTCGCAAAATCTATTAAAGATTGAGCAGGAAAATGAGGATGGCATGATTGTGTTTCTCTCAGATGTTTGGTTTGACAACTTGAAAGTTATAACAAAGCTAAAAGCTCTTTTAAGTGGATATAATGAATTTCCACCAATTGCAATAGTGTTCATGGGTGAATTTCTATCTTGTCCTTATGGTTATGAACATAGTACACAGCTTAAAGCAGCTTTGACACATTTGGGTGATATTATCTTTCAATTTACAAAACTTCGAGAAACTTGTAAGTTTATTTTCATACCAGGTCGTGGAGATCCAGCAGCAGCAAACATATTACCAAGACCAGCAATTCCCAACTCTGTCACCAGAGAAATTAGAGAAAGATTGGGTGATTCAGTGATCTTTACAACCAACCCATGCCGGATTCAATATTGTACACAGGAAATTGTTGTACTCAGGCAGGACTTGGTAACAAAAATGTGTAGAAATTCTATTCATTTTCCAGATACTGGTGATATTCCCGATCACTTAACAAAGACGCTATTAAGTCAGTGTACATTATCACCGTTATCCTTAGCAATTCAACCTGTTTATTGGAAACATGCTGATGCATTAAGTTTATATCCAATGCCAGATTTAGTGGTTGTCGCGGACCATTTTCAACCATATACAAGAGCATATCAGAATTGCCAAGTGATTAATCCTGGGTCATTCCCTCGGACTGAATATTCATTCAAAGTGTACATACCTTCTTCAAAGACTGTTGAGGATTCTCAAATACCTAAAGAGGATAATATGTAAAACTGTATTATTGTAATAGGTTATTTATAATATATTATAATTTAATACATTTAAAATTTTATAAAACAAAGTAAATGCTTGCTTTAACATATGAGGGTAAATGAAAAGAAAGAAACAAAATCCCTAGGAGTCTTTTAATTATGACCAACATTACAAGTCAATATTTTTGTAAATGTAATTAAAATCAACAATTTGTATGTAATTTTGATTATAAGACATAATTATGTAAAGGTTGTCTCTATTTTTGTGAGTCATATTTTATAATAAATAAATAATATGATTGTATAGTTTGATGTATTCATTTACAACAGGAATAAAACAAAAATTGATGGTGATTAATATATAAAATTTAATAAAACTTATTTAAGAATAAATAAATCAGTCTATTATACCTTGTTCATTTCTCAGATTTCTATATAATCAATTGATGTATAATGGGTATCTTAAAATTCTTTCTAAACATTACGATTTCTGAAAATAAGAAAAGACAGGAGAGGCCTATATGAAGGGGCACACTGAAATGATCAGGAATAAGAAAAACCACATGCATGGTATAGCTAACTTGTATTTTATTGTTTTCCGAAGTATTTTCTGTTCAACTTAATGCACTTCTCCATTCGTGCAAACCAATCATTAAAACAGTAATTCCAGTCTGAAGTTGATGCTGACAAAATGGTTGATTTGTATGCTTCGACAGATGCTTCGGTGTCCTCCAACCGTTAAACGCATAATAAATCTTTCATTCTAGGGAATGTAAAGAAATCGTTTGGGCTCAGGTCAGGACTGTATGGAGGATGGCTCATCAACAACGTATTCCTGCTTCAAAAAATCATGTATCTTCCGAGCCGTATGGGAGCTCGAGAGTGATGTAAGATGATGCGACGTTTCGGGTTATTTTTTCGGAGTTCGACTATCATTTCTGGCAAACAAACCGTGATATACCACTCAGCGGTAACTGTTCTGCGTTTCCAGACAAACGTAGCGACCACTTCCGTTGGTTTGATCTCGTCTTCGAAGACTCCAACTGCTGACTGATATTTTCTTTCAGGTTCGTATGAAAAAATCCATGATTCGTCACCTGAGACGATATTATAAACGGCATTTGACTTCCCTCCGTTGAAGCGTTACAGAGTATTCCGGCATCAATCTACACGAGCCGCCTTTTGCTCTTCGGACAAATTGTGGGGAACCCAGAGGGAAACTAGCTTTCTTACTACACACAGCTCATTATGTAATATCGACCGCTGTTCTTGGTCGACCTGCAGAAGAAACTGCGCTGAGCGACACACGACCGCTTCGGAACTTGGCATACCAGCGGTATATTGTCGTTTGACTCGGTGCTTCAACATCATAAATCGAAACAAGTTCGCTGAGACATTTATCTTGAGATAAGCCGCGACGAAAATTGTGATAAATTATGGCAAAGAAATGTTCACACGTGAGCTCCATTTCTGTTAATGAACACAGACCAAGGAACATACTACTCTCTAACGAGAGAAGAAAAACATCTCTATAGTAAAAAAAGGCCAACCACAGCCAACACACCTACACGACGCTGGCGCCATTGCGGAATAGCAATTAAAACAAAATACGCGGGAACTTTCAAAAAGGATATTGCATTACGCAATAATTGAATTAATAAGTAGTGCAAGAACATGAAGCATGATTTATAATAGTATGGAGTCTTTATATTATTATTTAATAGCTATGATAAATCTTGCTCCATATTATTAAAAAGTCCTGCTTCAAGTTCTTATAGTACATTTATTTTCAAATTGTGTGAGTAATTGAAACAACAAATAATGTATTATCATTTATTTTTTAAAATTCTCATTTTGCGTTCAAGAGTTTTCTTTTTCTCTTCGTCGTCCATATCTCTGTTTCTTAAAACACAATATCTTTTAGTTATTATAAAAAATGTGCTTACTTTTAAATGGTTTTCATTCAATACTAAATGATGGATACATTTTTTTAGAAAATTATAATCTACACATTCCAATGCACTGAATATGTTAACTTTTACTTCTATCCTATAGGCATTTGCTTTTAAGTATGTATTTATTATATTTGCCATCATTTCTACACACGTCACCATATCTTTACCCACATAATTTAAGGAGTTCTGAGCAGGGTCATATTCTTTAAAATTTGTGAACATGTGTATGATTTCTTGTGTATCTGACAAAAATGCTTTTCGGCAATCCAGACAGTTACTGTGCCTTAATTTTTTAAATATGAAACCACACACATATCCACATGCTTGACTTTCGGATGTCCCCTGCTCTACTGCTTCAACTGCATCAAATAATAAATTTTCCATCTCTTTAGTGTCATCAAACTGAAGAGTTGGTGATTTAACAATTGGAGAGATATTTGGAGTTAAAAAGTTTGACAAATTATTTGAAATAATTGCTGTGTCATCTTCACAATTTCTTTTATGCCCTGAATGTTTTAAATTTGAAATTATGGCAGTTTTAATACCAGCTATAAATTGGTTTATTGTAGGATTATTATTAGATCCACAGCTATATCTTATGCAGCCAAAACAATTTTCTAATGGATCTTGATTTAGGCGACGTGTGGGAAGACTCTTAATGCCTATAGCCTGCAAATTTTTCCACAATCTTTCTATAGCATTAAGGGTGTGAATCCATCCTTCTTGGGAAGGAGGATTTGATTTACTCCCTATATATTTCATATTCGATATGAACTCTCTCATACCCTTAAATAAAGCTAAATGAGGAGTCTTTTTATTTAAGTTTGTCGAGTATTTTTTTCCTCTTCTCAAATCTGGACTGTCTGCATTGACAGCATCAAACAGCTCGTCAAACTTTTGCACGAAAGTTGCTGTCACATGGGCTTCGGCCGGAAGTTCATCTGAAGAAAAAAAAACAATGTTTAATTAGTTATATTTTCATTTAAAGGAAAAATATTTCACTTCATGGAGCTTTCATTAATATATATATTTTGATTAATATCATTATACGCTAGATGTCAACTAACTCATCCTAAGTTTCTTTTTTTTATAGCATAGGGTGACAAACAAGCACACAGTTCACCTGATGGTAAGTGGTTGCTGTGGCCCATAGACATCTACATTTATCCTCGTTTGCAAATCAAAATGCAGATACATTGTCACCCGTGAGGACTAAGATGGAATGCCTCATTTCCAGTAAAGGGGGTCTCTGGTTATCTACAGTCACCATATGAAACACAGCAGTGTTAAGCTTCTATTTTAAGCTGATATTCTATAAGAGCGTGGTTCTTCCCCGGTCGTGCCGACCCATTCGTGCTACAACTATACTACTAATACAGCTGCAGCATGGTTCTACCACGTGGTTGTGACTTCACTTGATTCTCAGAAAGTCAAGCTGTTTTAATGGTAGTTTTGTTTATTTCTGTTGTTAAATAACATGTAGGCAAACTTGCTCACATTCATATTACTATCGACAATGTATATATAAAACCCAAGTCTTCAGTACAGTTCAGCAGGGTACAAAGTTAGCAGTCTGTGACAAAATTCAAACTTAATTACTAATGTATCTATTTGTTACAGTCAAAATTCTTTAAATATCTCTAACTGTCAAAGGTACTTTTCACTGAAAAATACATATGTTCATGGCATTACCCCACCTTAACCCACAGTGACAGTGTTTGGCTCAAATTTCAATAGGTTAAGGTGCAGCTGACTGGGAATCAGTATTGACTGTGAGATATATATCTCACAGTCAATACTGATTCCCAGTCAGCTGCACAATTTATATAAATTCACTTACTTTGAGCAATTTTCATTAACATGCCAGTTGTAACAGAGTGGCTAAACACTTGTGCTGCTAATTTTACTCTCATTTTCTGCTGACAATTTGGACGCAAATGATTATCTGTCAGTTGAGGAGCATAAACTAAATTGGGGTTGGTTTTGTCCAACTGATAAAATGCTTCAATGTGGCTCCATTTCACTGTACCTAAAAAAAAATATAAGATATTATATAGTAAGTACATAATTTGACTCTTGTTTTGTAGACATTATGTATATTATCTGCACAACAAGACTTTAATTTAAAAAAAAATGATATGGGTCAAATCCTCTAAACTAAAATATTTTATTTACCTTTTACAGGCTTCTCATTGCATTGAAAATCTGAGGTTACTTCAATATCATGCTTCATTAACAAATTTCTGGTGCACTTTAAAAGGTGTGGAGGATCTAGTATAGACACAATTTCCTGTCCACAGAAATTAAAAAATGGTGCAGTTGATGTTGCACCTAATATTTTAAAAACTTTCAAATTCACAGCTGATAAATCGCAGACAGTAGCAACCACATTCATCTTTGCTGCAATGCATTCTGTAAGTATCTGAAAAGAATAAACAAGTGTAAATTTGAAACATACACATACATATTTTTCAGTCTTGTAACAAAAGTTACAAAAAAGTATACTATACTTTACCTCTTTTAAAATTATTGTCATTCTATCTGCCTTTATTGTATGGGAGAAATAAAATGCGATGGGCTGTTTCCACTTCTTTCTCAACCCAGTGAGCATAAATACCAGTGCCTTAGAGGCAACATCTTCAGTCCTACCATGGTTGCCATGGTCTTGAAATCCTTGTATTTCATCCAGCTTTTGATTGTAATACAAATGTCTTCTTATAGACATTTCATCAAACGATAAAATACAAATATTGTCTTCTTTATCCTGGTTCCGGCTCATTTTTTCTAATGAGGTAAATATATGCTTGTTTATGCCTGGTTTTAGTGGCACTTTATTCAGGAGTTGATTTAAACTTGTTTGACAAGGTAAAGCAAACATTCTCTTCAGTAATCTGTAACAGGCTGGGGACTTTTTATAAATTAACAAAGCCTGAATTTTTTGTTGTAAAGTATATCTTCTCCCTTTTGGTTTTTTTGGGCAATTTTGTAATTGGCTTTGCAATAAAGTTATGAATGAATTGCTAATATTTAAATTACTCAATTCTTCAACATGGTGATCTCCTAAAACTCTCTCTATCTTCCCTCTCTTAATATTCTTAATTTTGTTACGTAATCGTATTATCTCATACATCTTATTTTTGCATATTTTATATAATTTTATTTCTCTTGGTGTCATTTGGCTTACTTTTGTGACACCTAGGTTAGCTAGGATTTTAGTACGTTTTTTGGTCAAATTTGACTTGCTACAGGTTGCCACATTGAGTTCATTCTGAAATTATAAATATTCACTCTCAGGGACCGATACCAGCACTCACATAATTTAAAATTGTAAGGTATTTGTCAGTTGGTAATAAATATCTTATGTATGATCACAAATTTGTTTGAATATTAAAATCTTAATTTGAATCCAAAATAAATTATCTGTATGACCTACTACAGCCATTAATATGTAAAATATTATTAATGTAAAAGAATTTGTTAAAAAAAAGTACAGTGAAAGTATCATAGTTCACACAAACACATAAATACTAGAATCACATATTTAGTACTCCTCTCTATCTTATTATTTAAAAAGATATAATATGTAAAACAAAAAATCGAAAATGTATTACCTGCACGCTGTCAATGAATCCAGTTGTTCTTGCGACATCCACTAAAGTTTGTGTTGATGACTTTGCACTGGTACAAGGTTCCACTACAATATTTTCAATTTCAGACAGTGGCACTCTTAACTTTGGCTGTGCAGTTGCTTCACTGGACTGTTCTATATTCTGAAATTAATCATTACAATAAATGTATTACTTTATTTCACATGGAAACTATTAAAGTGTCTAATGTAAGACTTATCCTAAATATTATAACTCCTATAATATAAATATTTTAAGCAGCTGAACGGATTGTTATGCAATTACGGAAAATAGTTTTAGGCATGCAGATTTTAAAATGTATATTTTGAACTTGGCATAGAAAATTATATCGCACCTCCACTCAAATAGCATCATAATTCCAAAATACAAATTGTCGAGAAAAATGTGTTTAAAAATTGCTCGAACTTTATTTTTCACATTTTGGGGCATAACTCAGAAACTATGAAAATTATCGTAATAATGATCATATTAAATTTTAATGGTTTTAAATGCTCTACAAAATGGAGTATTTGGTATCCTCAATAGATGAAAAATAAATTGTAAATTTGTAATTGTGACACTATACTATAGATAAAAGAAAGAATATTTTAATATATATTATTTATATGTCATTTTAACAAACAAAAACATTAACAAACAAAACAAAAACTTTTATTCTGAATTACTCATTGGTACGAAAATCAGGTCTTCTGAACCTAACGAAACAATAAAAAAAGTTTTGATATTTTTGAGTTATGACACTATTTGAGCAGAGGTATATGTAAATTTTATAGACCAATCTGTAAGTATATTATACCTGGTGAAAGATATTTTCCTTTTCATTGAGTAGTTCTTCCACTACAGTTGACTCAGGAACAGCAAATTTACTCAATTTTTGTCTTTCATTGTCATAAAATTGAGTTGAATTAAAGTGTCTTCCACACAACACTTTATTTTTAGTATAGAGTGAACGTAATAATTCTACTGAAGTCCAATCTTCATTTGGCCAACAATATTTAGCCCAAACATGAGCCCTGAAATTTTTTTAATTTAAGTAAATTAGTCAAATCTCTCATAAATTGATGTACTGACAAAATTAAAGGTATGTATTGAAAGGCCACTGACATGTATTTATGTATGTATTTAGAATGTCTTGCAAGTACACCGCCTAATCTTTTTATATAAATACTCTACACCCTAAGGTTGCCTGGAAGAGATCGCTTATAACGATAAGGCCGCCTTCTGTGTATCATCGTTTTATTTCTTCTTTTGTGTTGTACAATAAAGTATGTATCTATCTATCTATGCAAAATGGTATGTACTTAACAACAATACATTCATTTGTCGAATTAATGTACCAGCACAAGGTGCTTCAATATAGTATTTTAAACGATAATCGTATCAGGGCTCAACAAGCAATATCTCATAGTCCACTAACCTGGTAAAATTAGTAGTTCCTGGATTCGGAAACCTATGATAGGTCACCGTCATATCTTCAGCACGTGTTCTACCGCACTTGGCACATTTCCTATGGTTATTTTCAGACATACTTATAAACAAAGAACACACAAATCGAATAAAAACAGAAAACCTAACCTAACAAAGAAAACGTCCTTTCGTAAAAAAAGCGCAAAACGTCCTTTCGTAAATAAATGTGATAGTGCACGATAGTCGCTAAACAATATGTACAAAACACAAAATTCACTCCAAGAACATAAACGCATATGCAGTTGAAATTACTAATAAATGCGGAGAGCTAATGTCACTCGATCAACACAATTACTGTCATAGATTACTGCCTATATACTAGAGATAGATGAGCAACTCAAGTTTTATTTACGTTAAGTTCCGTGCCCAACCGTCAGGTGGCGTAAAATTAAGAGTGCTTTGGGCCCGCCCTTTATTCGCACTTTACAATTTTATATGTTCAGAACCATTAATTACATTGCACAAGTGCTGCAATGTAATTAATGGTTCTTTATATTTCTTGTGCTAATTGCTAGTTCCTATTAATAAAATGAAAACCGGATATATTTAAAATGTTTATTGTTTAAAAATTTCTTGCCTAAATTAATAACATTAGATGTGTTAAATTTAACTGGTTAGTTAAGTTAGGAAATATATTATGTTACAGAGAATACAATACAATAGAATTATTATTATTAAATATAGATTATTACACAATACTTATTGAAAGTCATGTTTTATTTACTACATATACCTCTGTCCTGGGAAGAACCAACAAGAAACCCAGCGGGACGTTTTTTTAAAACATATTTCACTTTACAATCATTTTGTTTATACATTTTTTAAATAAATTTTAATAGTACAGGCATGGTGGCGATCACCTCAATCACAGGGGTTATTATTGATGTATTTTTTGATATTATAATAACACTTTTTGTACATTTTTCCTTAAATAAAACATTTCAACTTATTTATTGACAAATTTTGTACATTTTCTGAAATTTTGTTTTAAAAGCGTATATGTTGCCCCATAAAAGCACTACTGACTCAGTGGAGTCTAGTAACTGGTGTTACAAGCTTATGTTTGTTCTTAGATTTTAAAGTATAAACATCTTTATTCTTATGAAAGCTTTTTATGTTTTTATGTACATACATTAGTATATATATATATATATATATATATATATATATATATATATATGTATATATATATATAATATATGTACAACAATACATACATTATTGTACATACATTATTGCTATGCCAAAGTTAATATATTTATTTCTTTAAATTTTTCTCTACGCGACTTTTACAATTTAAGATATAAATTGAACGTACGGCTCTCTTTTATAAAACAAATACGGCTTCAATGTCTAATACTAAGAAAAACTGTGGTATCCACAAGACTCAACTACTTCCCATTTAAGAGCACATTGATAACTGAATCCTCTCCAAAGGTTTGCTTCTTTTCCATAATTTCAAGAATTAGTATCAATTAATTGTTAATAGTGGTACATCTTTAACTTAATATAAAAAGATACATTTTGTAGCAGCATTATTAATCTTTAAAATATGTACTTGATAACGTTATCATATTTTGGTAACAAAACTTTTTTTAAATGTGTGTAATAACTATACTTTTTTAAAATACAAATAATTTACAAAAGTGACTTTCTTATGCCCACTATACCATTGTTTACATGTGTAAATCAATATATTTTTTTCTACAAAATGAGCATTTCATATATGTATTATAACATACCATAGAATACTTTAATATACAATAGAATAGCACTTCCGTTGACGTAATTACGACCACACATACAAGCAATTACAAAAATTAATATAGTATGTAATTGATATAATAATTGTAATGATGATCTTTGTAAGACAACCCCACATCAAACAAATACATCAAATTTGTAGTTTCAAGAAAAACGTTTTTGCAACTTTCACAGAACTTCATAATGTGTTGAGGAGATTATAACAAAAATAAATAAAAACATTTGACCAATGATTCCCCCTAAATGGGATATTTCAAGTCATTAAATTGTTAATAAATATCAAATTAAAATTTCCAACATGACATAAACATAAAAAGTAAGGACCCTTATCATAAATTTGTTGATCAAGTTAATTGTACATAGTTCAGACCCTCAAAGATTGCATAAGAGATGGTGCAATAAAATATTAAAAGGCAGACATATTAAAATCAATAATGACAAAATAACACTTAACTACTAACTTAAACAATGAATTTGGTTTTACACAATTTTTATAGATCCTGTATGTTTTCTTACAGGAACCTCCATTAAAAGAATCAAACAATTGATCAAACAGGAGTAGTATATCTGCCGTATCTTCACATTCTTGTGGCAGCAACTTATTTTCTGCAAAGAAATAAAATATTATGAGCACTTTTTAAATAATAAGAAGCAATAAAATGTTTGACACAAGAGGAAATACAAGTAAATACTAAATATGCGATAAAAAGATATCTTACATTTACGTTATTATATTTTGGTAACATAACTATTTTTTTTAAATGTGTGTAATAACTACACTTTTTTAAAATACAAACAATTTACAAAAGTGACTTTCTTATGCCCACTATACCATTGTAAATGTGTAAATCAATATATTTTTTTTACAAAATCAGCATTTTATATATGTATTATAACATACTCATACATAATACAACCTCACAAACCATTTGCGAAACTATAATCAATCTAATAAATTGTGGAAGGTACCATATAATCACATAGAGCAACAAAAATAATACTAAGAAATAATATTTCAATAAAACTGATATCATTGACTATGCACACCCACATATTCCTGAATGTGCAGTTAGTACAGTATAATATGAATATCGTGGAAGATGGTACAATTTCGAAGACAAATTGTTTGGCCATGTCGATAAAAACAAAAAAAGCCTTAAAAGATATATATTCTTAGGTAAATTGTTCACTTTACTCAAGACGGACATTAAAAATGTCCTTAAATAAATACTAATTAAGCCAGGCATAAACTTATTTATATTTAAGCAAATGAAAGACTTGAGCATGACAGAGTGCTTGTGTTTCTTAATGCTTGATGAGATGCTAGTGTTCTCCTCACTACATTACAATGCAAATGTCATAGGTTTTGAAGACTGAGGATGTTAAGAGTGAAAATATGATGAACATGTTTTGGTTTGATGATAAAGGAGATAAAGTTCATACTAAGCTTTCAACTAGTTATGGATTTTGCAAAAATGCTACGATGGCAGTAATTAAAAAATATATATAATAAAATATTTATAACAAACATGATTAAATGGTGTCTATGATCAATTTACAATTAACACCAAAGTAAGCAATAATTAAGTTAATAGGACAAAGACAGCAAGAATGCTTTTGAAATAAAATAAAAAATAATTCTCTTTATTCGATACTTACACTTATCGAAAGGGGAAATTTTATTTCAAAAGAATTAAGATTTATACGCATGACGTAGTAAACTGCTAAATGGGAGCATTTATAATTGCTCTTAGATAGTGATGTGGGAGAAAATGAACTACTGGATGATGCATAAGTAAGCTGACATATACCTAAGTGTAACCTGATAAAATACCTAAAATTAGGAGTAAAGCACGAATTTTAACCGTGTATTAGGTTGTCTTTGACTTTGTGCAAATAAGTCTTTACATATTAATAATTAATGTTCAATAAATATTTGTCTTTAACAACTTTGTTTTGATTTTATTTTCAAAACATTTTTAATTACCCCAAGAGAGCAAAGATACTTCATAGCAAGTATATTGTCCAAAGTCCGCCACGTGCCACGTCCGCCATTTTGTTTTGGTTTCTTTCGAACCACACTAATACTGTCTACTTCATCGTTCGACCCGCCATGCCTTTAGTCGTCACTTTTCGCGCACTCAGTATTCAAATAACCCCCTGAGTTTAACAGAAGTCCGTTATTTCAATTTTACGTACAGACGAACACTTCAATTACACGAGTATGAATAAATTTAAAATGGTCTACTTAGAATAATAACTGTTACAACTTAACAAGCGTGGCAACATGGCAAAATCCCCCCCCCCCCCCCTATGAGGCTATTGGGGAGGCCTATGTTCAGCAATGGACTTTTATAAGCAGCAATGGAAAAACCTGTATTAGATCTATCGCCGTGCAAGGTGTTATGCTCGGGGAGCGGCCAATGCTACGTGTGCTAATTCGGGGCTGTTATAATAACTTCTGTTAGTCAGTTTTGTTTGATTTTGTTTAATTCCTTTAATCAAAGATTTTATAAAAAGTGTCCAAAACATAACTCGGAACGTATATGCTGTGAAACAAAGTTTTACCTATTACAATGAGATTTCAGGAAGTTAAAAAAGAGATGGAAGTTGAATGAAGAAATTGTTAGCAAGATGCTAATAATATATTATAAAATCTGGATTATTTACTGGTAAAAATGACCTCCACTCCAAACGAAGAGGTAGTAAATAGAAGGTATTTTACCGCTCACATTTTGGCAGTTAGCAAATTTTCAGAGATTGAAAACTAAAATATTTTTATTTAACGAGTTATAAAAAAGATGAAAATTAATGCAGGTATGTAAATAATGTAATAATTGTAATAATGACATTTGTAAGACAACCCCACACCAAGCAAATACATCAAATTTGTAATGTTTCAAGAAAAACACTTTTGCGACTTTCAGAAAACTTTTCATGTGTTGGAGATTATAACAAAAATAATTAAAAACATTTGACCAATGATTTCCCCGAAATGGGATATTTGAAATCATTGTTAATAAATAGCAAATTTCAATTTTTAACATGACATAAACATAAAAAAGTAAGGAGGTATTTTATAAAACAAATTTAACACAACATGACACGCGCACGCGCACGCGCACACACGCGCACACACGCGCACACCCGACGCGCACCCGCGCGCACCCGCGCACCCCGCGCGCACCCGCGCGCACCCGCGCGCACCCGCGCGCACCCGCGCCCGCGCGCACCCGCGC